GTTCGCTCTCAAGATCTAGCATCACTACCTGTATGGGTTTCGGTGTACTATATACACGGACCACAAGAGTTTGAAGTACTTAATGGATCAGCCCAACTTGAATATGCGCCAAAGGAGATGGTTAGATGTGGTGAAGAATTATGATTGTGAGATCCTGTACCACCCGGGCAAGGTGAATATGGTAGCTAATGCTCTGAGTCATAGGGCAGAAAGTTCCCCAATACGAGATATGTGTATGAGGATGAAAGTGATCACCCAATTGTTAGATACCATCCGAGAGGCCCAGGTAGAGGCCGTGAGGCCAGAGAATCGCAAGAAGGAGCACATGATTGGGTAGATATCCGATTTTGTGACTGATAACTATGGGCTTATGGCTTTTCATGGTCGGGTATCGGTGCCTTTTATAGGCAGAGCACGTGGTGTTTTGATGGAGGAGGTGCATAGATCAAGATTTTCGATCCACCCCGGGGCCACTAAGATGTATTTGGATCTAAAGAGAGATTACTGGTGGCCTTGCATGAAGAGGGATGTTGCGTGGGTTGTAGAGAGGTGCTTGACCTATTTCCAGGTTAAAGCCGAGAACCAGCGGCCCACATGGCAAGTTGCAGCCACTTGAGGTTCCCAAGTCGAATTGGGAACAAATAACTATGGATTTTATCACCAAGTTACCAAGAACCTCAAGAGCAGTCGATGCAATTTGGGTGATTGTAGATCGATTGACGAAGAGTGCTCACTTCCTTGCCATCAGTGAGAGTTCTTCTGCAGAGAAGTTGGCAGAGGTGTACGTGAGATAGGTGGTGTCACGACATGGGGTGCCAATCTCGATTGTGTCCGATAGAGATGTGCATTTCACTTCCAGGTTTTGGAAGAAGTTTCACGAGGAGTTGGGTACAAGATTGCATTTTAGCACTGCTTACCACCCTCAGACCGACGGTCAGAGTGAGCGGACTATCCAGATGTTCGAGGACATGCTTCGTGCATGTGTATTGGATTTCGGAGGGAGTTGGGGACATGTATCCACCTTTGGCTGAGTTTTCCTATAGCAATAGTCATCATTCGAGTATTGGTATGCCACCCTTCGAGCTGTTGTATGGAATGAGGTGTAGGACTCCCATTTGTTGGGGAGAGGTAGGGCAGCGGGTGATGGATAGTATGTAGATAGTTCTTCAGACTACTAAGCAGATTCAGCAGGTCAGGTAGAGGTTGCTGACAGCTCAGAGTCGTCAGAAGAGCTACGCAGATAAGCATCGCTCAGAGCTTGAGTTCCAAGTTGGTGATTTTGTTCTCCTGAAGGTATCACCTTGGAAATGTGTGATTTGGTTCAGGAAGAGAGGCAAGCTGGGGCCTCGGTATATTGGTCCATTCAGGGTGATCGTGAGTGTAGGAAGGTAGCGTATCGTTTGGAGTTACCTGCGGAGTTGGGTTAGATTCATGATACCTTCCACGTGTCTCAGTTGAGGAAGTGTATTGCCGATGAATCAGCAGTGGTACCATTGGAGGATATTCAGGTGGATGCAAGCCTAAATTATGTTGAAAGGCCAATTACGATACGGGATCGAAGGATCAAGGTTTTGAGAAACAAGGAGGTGTCCTTTGTGCAGGTTTAGTGGCAGCATTGAAAAGGGTCCGAGCTGACATGGGAACCGGAGATCGAGATGCGTGAGAAGTACCCAGAGTTATTTGCAGAGCGAGACTTTGAGGGCAAAGTTTGATTCTAGTGGGGGAGAATTGTAACAGATGGAGTTTGGGTATGTAATTTTATTATCTTGAATTATAATTTTGCTGGGGGAACTCGACGAGTTGGTGCCTCAACTCGTCGAGTAGAGTCTTAACTATTAACGCGGTTTATCGACCGGACTCGATGAGTCGGGTATCTAAATCACCGCGTTGGTGCTGATTAGGAAAACCCTAATATCCGGGTTTGGGAGCCTATTTAAAGATCTTTATAGCCTTCATTTGCGGCCACCTTGTTCCAGAGAAACCCTAGAGAGCAAAGATGGTGAGTTTGAGGGCAAGAGGAGGCTATTTCTTCATCTTTTGTGTGATTTTTCTAGAGGAAGAAGAGAGGATCCATCTGGAACGTGAATGGGGCTTGGACTGGAGCTAATCATCTTGAGATATTGTCTTTGGAGTTATAATTCTTTCCATTTCACGTACATATGGTAGATTTCAAAGTTTTAGGGTTTCTCCTTCATAATTTTATGAGATCTAGTGAGTATGAGGTCCTCTTTGGAATTGTGTCATCAGATCTGGACCATGAGAGGTACCTAGAGTCATTATTTTCCAGGTTTTTGCAAGCAAATAAGCAATTAGAGACTAGGTTGCCATTCCAAGTGTTATTTCTCCATTTGAGGCTTGATATGGGTTGCATGCACGTAAAGGTTGCACCTTTACGTGACTTTTGAGTGTTTACGGGTTAGATCTATGATTTGGTTAAGCAGATCTGACCTCAAGAGGTTGTTTGAGCGAGTCCATGAAGGAAACTCGCCGAGTCCATATGTGAACTCGATGAGTCAGACCAGGATGCCCCGGGGTCTGACTTTAGTGGTGACCTGGTGACTTTGGGAGGGGGGGGGGGGCTCAGTGAGTTGAGTGAGGCTTAGAAAGAGAAAAGTATGTGGGATGATGGGACTTTCCGAGTCGTCATATGTACCCAGCAAGTCTGGTCAAACTGGACACATGGCTTTGGTTGACTTTTAAGGTTTGTCAACAAATGAACCTTTGGGCCTATAGAAGGGTAGAATGGTCTTTTACCCTTCTACGGATTTTCCATGAGATAATATCCAATTTGTGAAAAGACGGAGGCTAGGGTAGTATTTCTGATATCAAGATTTACCGAGATTCCCGAGGTGAGTCTTCTCACTATACTTTACCTAGAGTGGTAATCAGAGTTATGTGATAGTGTATCTTGTATGCTATTTATGTGTTGTGATTTCTATGTGATATGTGATATGCATGATTTGGAGTTTACAAAGTTAGGACCAATGGGTCCACAGAGTTATGGGACCAAGAGGGTCCCATAGAGATATTCGACCAGAGGGTCATTAGGGTTACAGCCTTGAGTGGATGATATTTGTCTATGTGGTATTTTGGGGAACTCACTAAGCATTTATGCTTACAGTGTTTTGTGTATGTGTTTTAGGTACCAATGATGATCGCGGAAAGGTGCCAACATGATCTGTACACACTCGCAGAGTTTTTGCTTATGTGATTTTGGGAAATGTTTTTAGTTTGATGACATTGGAGACATTAGATTTGGTATTAATTTATGAATGAAAGTGTGTTTTAAAAATGAAAATTTTGTTTTGAAAAATCTAGTGTTACAAATAGAAGTTATAATTATACATATTGAAAGAGAAAGGACCTGTTTGTAATTACTGAAACTTAATTAGTTTGACTCTCTTTCCTCTTATATATAAACTATCTGTAACGAGTCCAATTGCACCTGATGAAAAGCCAAGGGAAAAAGAGTCTTTAAAGCAAAGAATTAACTAGGGGTCCTAAGTAGCCGGGGCAAAAGGTTCTTTAATCCAATTACTTCATGCCATCATTATGGAACCAAACAGCAACATTAGCAACATTAGCAACGACCAAAGAAAACACTCATTAGCACAACCAGTTTGAAACTGCAACTTGTAATGGGAAATCACAACTGGGCAAAAAAACCAGCCAAGACCAATATGAAAATTTCACAAAGTGGATTTGGGGTAATAACAAAACCATCAGATCAACTTTTCCAATTATAAACTTCTACAACCATATATAAATTCCTTCATAACAAAATAACATGTAACTGATTCGACCATACTTGGACATAAACAAACCCAAGAATATGTTGTAACTTTAAACCTTACATAGACCGTACATGTAGGTTATGGCTTTTTACCACTTAAACACACAAAAAGAGTTGAACCCACACAAAGACCCAACCCTAGCCTAACAGAACACAAAATAATAAGAAGCCAACCCCCAGGAAGAAATGGAACATACACATGAGAAATAGAGAATCTCAAATGCCAAAGTAACGGAAAAGATTTTGATGACGAAGAAACATATATTTGATGATTTATGGACGAAAGCTTAACTACTTAAAACTCCGGAAAGTATGAATGAACAAAGTTAAAAAAAAAAGATATAAATTGTCTATTCTGTGAGTTCTAGCCAATTCCAAAACAAAGAAATACTAGGTGATTTCTTAATTGTAAGTAGGCCTGTCAAATCGGGCCGTCGTGTCGTGTTTTTGTCTGACACGACACGACACGACAATGTTTTTTGTAACACGAACACGACACGACACGATGTTGTGTTTTTTTTTACTAACACGAAAACGAACCAATTAAAAAATGACAACACGACACGACACGACAAAGATAATATTACATAACTATTATTTTATTTAATTCATATTTAATCATATATAACATGATAAAAACGCCAAACACGAAAACACGACAAATACATGCTCAATCATGTCAATTTCATGTGGATTTGTAAACACGGACACGACACGACACGACATCGTGTTTTTTAAACTTGACACGAACACGACACGAAAACGAATTCGAATTTTGATTTCGTCCCGATTTCGTTTCGTGTCGTGTCATAAATTGACACCCCTAATTGTAAGTCTGTAACAATTGCTTAAAATGAAAAAAAAATACATCTTTGTAATATAGAAATATAGAACTATGATGTTATAAAATGAAAATAGATGTACTTAAGTTGTTGTATGCTACAATTGTATTACTTCAACTGGGAAAAAGATACTCACATGATATTGGGTATCAGCAGGGATTATTTGAAAATTAATTGCAACAATAAACTGTAAATGGGTATAAAAGTAAATTGACTGCAACCAACAAACATTATCTATTCATTCAATCTAATTAATATAATTATAAACAAACATACCTCTCTAGAACTTTCCTTAGAGTTAGATATCATAACCAATGTGCAATACTTTCTGCATTAATAGGATTATGAAATTGATATATCAATTATCAAGTAATTTCCAGGCCTCTAGAGACCTTCATTTGATCAAGTGTGGAAGAAGCAACAATTGAGAGGTAAAGAAATTGGAATAATCCATCACAACGATCTTTGTAGCCTCCTATGAGGGCTGATGGAGGTGTAGGAGGGAATTGCACTAAGCTTTCAGCACAACTATTTCCTCTCCAAGGGCAAATTACTTGATACCCTTCATCAAGCTGATTGGCAAATTCTTCTCCAAGATCTAATAACTCATAACATTAACAAAAACAATACTCATGTCCTACAAATAAAAATACAATACATGTAAGCCAAATTATAGCGAATTTCACCTTATGTAGGAGTCCATAAATCTGGTGCAATGTATTTAAAGGTGGCACCACAAGACTCACATTCAATCTTATCAATATCCAAATTCGCCCAACCTCTACTTGCACAGGCAAGAGAACTAGCAGCTTGTGTGAGAGTCATTTGATCAATGAAATGATTGTAGAACATGTTAATAAAGGAGAGAAAGGGAATTTTACACGAACCTTAGACTTTCCAAACCAATTTGCAGGCTGAAATGTAGACAATTGCCTTAAAAGATCACCCCTTTCCCATGGTCTACATGAAGGTTGAGATGAGCTAAGAACTGAACCACAAGCACATGCACTCAATGAAATCCACAAGGGCTGTGAACCAATTCAAGATAGGGAACCTACTTTTGACCCCTTCCCTTGACCATGACCTAACCAATCTGTACTACCAGCATTAGTAGCAACAACAGGTGATGATGCCTTAACAGAACTGATAAGAATTATGGATGAATTCAATGTTCATTCAATCACTTTTGGTTTGGAATTTCTAATTTGTAAGTAGTCTACAACAGATATTAAAGTATTATAGAATATTAATCATATATCTCCTTGTTCATATCATTCAAAGATCGACTAACAGGAATGTCAAAATTCCTTTCCAATTTTGGAATCCCGGCTTTAAATTCCAAATAGACTTCAAACTTGAGTTCCAAATACGATAATTGAGATGCACCAGAACAATATTGATGCTTGGATTCATATCCCGAAATTGAATTGATTAAGATATATTGTACGGATTGAAGCTATTAGCTATCGAAGCTAAGTAAATTGATGTAAAGGAGGTTTTGAATCAGAAAACAAACCATTTGTAGGTGGCACAAGAACATGGAAATGTACCCCACCTTAAAATGAAGTGAAAAAGCTACAGACTAGGGATTTTTTTTTCATAATTCAACATATATTACATTTACAACTATGTACGCATATAGAAATGACGCGACATAGAAGAAGGTCTGAATGAGCATTAAATTTTTGATGATTGATTGAAGCTTTAGAGTTCGGTTTACCTGGCAGCAGAGGTGGGAGGAAGAGGAGATGAATTGCGGAAGAGTAATGGGAAATATCAAATGTTTTTCTATTTCTCGGACAAACTTGGGGGTAGCACAGGCTACCCCTAGCTACCAACTAGATCTGCCACTGCTTTTAACATATAGTTGGAACATCGCTGACATTAGGTATACGCCTTGAAATTGCATCCAGAAGGACCGTGTTCCTTCCTCCAACCTTCACGTTAATCTTCAAATCCACATTTTCAGGGTACTATTTGCTCATCTTAAATACATGTTTATTCATACATCATTGAGAAACAACGCCAAGATTAGTGTCACAGATTCGTTTCAGGTCACCTACATTAAAGTTTAAACAATAAACATAATCTTTTATCAACAACAACCAAAAAACAAAAAAAAAAATATTTAAAATAAAGAAGTTAGGTTTCATATTTTTACCATTTTATCAGTTTAGCCGCTAAACTATCATTTTTTTTTATCCTAATAGTCATTGAAAATATATAAAGCACAGTTCTTTTTGTTCAAGAATCTACTATTGATCTTCTTATTATTTGTCTATTTCTAATTCCATAAACAACTTAGCATATTATAATGTTGGACAAAGAAGATGACCTGATTAAATGTAGCTCTAAATGCTTCCAATTGCCTTGTGATACTGGTCTAGACACAAAATCATATCAGGGTGGAATTGGAAAAGAAGAGGGTACTTATAGAAAACCCCTTCTATAACCATACCATACTCCACATGGATATTATTCTACCATATTCAAATCACAAGATCGCTATAAGCAGCAGAAAAATGATTAATATTTTTGCCATTACATTACTTCAAAAACATATGCATACGGTGTCATAATGACATCTGCCTACATCCCTAATGCAATTTTATTTTCCATCAAAACACCCTTAATAAATTGAGTTGCAGTTTCACAATAGTCTAACAAATTTAACATTCCTCAAAAGTTAAAGCAACAAATCTGTGAGCTTCTGGACCTTCTGGTCCATTTTTACTAGTATTATTTAAATCTCTTGGTCAAATGTCTTAATTTAAAATTGCAAACAAAAACTAAAACATTAAACAATTTTTTTCCATTTGAATGAAAAAATCTTAAAAAATAACAAAAATTGGTTTATTTTGAACCAAAATTGGTAACAATTTATCATTCTTCCCATTTATCTTCTTCTTTTGGTTTTCATGGCACCATAACATAGATGAATGTAGAAACTGTTGATGAAACATTGTATTAACCCCATCGATTCCAATTTGTGATCCATATTCCATATCATATATGACTTTGATAAAAACCTAATGTACACATGAAGAGATGAAACTCAAACGGAAATGGATGCATATTTCAACATCAGATATTGGTTGTTTCGTCACATCTTTTTTCTTGAAACCTGTCATCATATCTCTTGGAAATAAGATTGACTTCTAGTGGACCTCTAATTTATGGAATCAATTGAAGTTTTCTCAACATGGAAACATTATTCAACAAAAAATGGAGAATGGAGATGAAATATCAAGAGAAAGATATATATATATATATATATATATATATATATATATATATATATATATATAGAGAGAGAGAGAGAGAGAGAGAGAGAATACAGATGGTCGAGAATGAGCGACCATCAACTTACCTGATGGGAGGAATAACGAAGACAACTTGCATGTTGATTTGTGGAGGAGGAAAGGCTACCTATACCTTAAATGATGCTTGAATCATACCTATAAAGGGCTTCACTAGTTCATAGATGGCGACATGGATACATCGCAAAGCCGCTAATCTCCTTGAAAGTTTGACATAGGCATAATGTAATGATCCCTAAATCATATTCTTGTCAGCGTGAGGAGTCGTAAATGGTTGGCTCTTAAACGAAGGCCTGTAAAATTGATCAGTCGTCGCAGTCTCGGTGAGGTGAGATGAGCTCGAGGTCTCCAGTGGGAAGAGTTGAGCGGAGGTCTCCGGAGGTAAGAGGTGAGCGGAAGTGAGAAGAAGGCGGGGGTTTAAAAAATTTGGGTATTTCATTTTCCCTTTAAGGAGACCCGCGTTTCTTAAAAAAAATATAAAACGACATTTACAGAGGACGCACTTGTGCCCTCCGTGTTTTTTTATTTTTTTTACATGAGACACTAATTTAAGGGCACGCAATAATGCATGACCTAAATCCTTAAATGTTTTGAAGAGATGACATTTTTTTTAATGTCACTCTCTTTTGCGTAACATAAATCAACGAGGGTCGTGGTTTGCGCGTCGTAAAAGGCTCTTTTTTCTTGTAGTGTCTAATGACATATACATTTGTGTGTGTATATATATATATATATATATATATATATATATATGTGTGTGTGTGTGTGTGTGTGTGCGTGTGTGTGTGTACATATATATGATTTATACTTTATTTTAATACATAAATATGCTATTATAATTTGTAACTCGTTCATACGAACCCCATTTTTGACGTTCTTTATATCCATGCGTTGGTATTTACGAGTACTACAACTTTCATTTAGACGTTGTCACCTAATTCTCATTCTATCTCAGATTTACAAAACTGTATTGAATTTATTATGCTCGAAGAGTAGGGACCAAGTTTTGTCCATATCTTTAACATACGAGCTCCACTCTTGACATTATATATATCCACACGTAGGTAAAAACAAGATCCAAAACTTTCATTTAGACTCTGTCGACTACTTCTCGACCGATCTTAAATTTAATAGTAGTAGGAAATTATATTGTTAAATGTCTGCATAAAATTCATAACTTCTACATACGGACTCCAATTTTATCTGTATTTTTACCATTGAATTCCTATTAATGAAATCTTCAACTCTCATTTAGGTCACGTAGGCCAAAGACCGCTCGAACTAAAATTCGAGTTTCAGGTCGTGCATTGTTATGCCAAATGTTAGAAAATTCATAACTTACTCATACGAAGTCAGATTTTGGCGTTCTTTTTATGGATGCTCTCAGTTTAACATATTCTATGACTTTTGTTTAGATTACCAAGGCTGAAAATTCCTCTATCGCAAATTCACTATTTACGTCTCCCGGTGTCGTGCTGATTTTGCTGAAAAACTTCGACGAGTCATAACTTCTTCGTTATAACTCGGATTTTGGCGTTCTTTATATGTACCGAACCCTTCTAAAATATACTACAACTTGGTTAATATTAATCCTTCTAAATAATCTTCCATAAAAAAAACTAATTTTTGATGCGTATTGTCTCTAAATTGACTAGCCCGGATCTGCGGGCGTTACAATTATCTCCCCTTTAGGATGATTATGTCCTGGAAGCATCAACGAAACACGGCAATATAATGATTCCATATGTTACCTCTTCATCCTTAGTAATAATCGTAACTTCCTTGTGAAAGGCCCAATTGGTGGTTTGGTCTAGGCTTTGAGTTGTAATAGTAGTTGCGTATTGATAGAGTATTGTGGGTAGGTTTACTGTGTGTTTACGTGTTTGTAATGAGTTTACGGCCGTAAACACCTGACAGCCGTAAACTCTTTCCGGTCGTAGTTCCCTATATATAGGGGGTTAGTAAGTCGTGTTTTGTTGTTGATGCCTAATAGTTCCTGGTCGTATATTGAGTTTTACCAGACGTTTTCAGTAATAGAACGTGTGCAAGATTGATTTCTTTTCTTTTCTACTCTTATTCTCATTTCTGTGATTGTGTTTGCTACTGATCACTGGTAAGATCCATTCTGAGGACCTTACAATTGGTATCAGAGCGGAACCAGCGTCAAAGGAACTCTACAATCGATCTTGGAGCGAGTTTTCATTGGTTTGAGACTAAAGTTCATGATTTCTGCAAAAAGGGTTTTTAGTCTAGTCGAAAAACTGCAAAATTCAAGCTTTCGGCCGGAGTTTACGGTCGCAAACTCGTGAAGGATCTTGGACCATAAATCACATTCTTGAACCGTGAATAAGGAATATTCATAAACCGAAAACTGATTATTCTTGGACTGTGAGCTTAAGACCATGAACTCCTTTCGACCGTAAACTCGGAGTTTACGGTCGTAAACTGTCATCTGACCGTAAACGACGTTCACGGCAGTAAATTGCTTTTTAACCGTGTTTGACC